GATAGCGGGGAGTCGGGGATGACGTTGCGTTCTGAGGCGCAGGCGGTTGCTTCTTCGCTGGTAGGGAAGCATGACTTTCTCCACGACCTCGAGGCACCGGTCACTCGCCGGCACGGATGAACGTCCAGGTCAGCTCGTTCCAGTTGTCAGACGAGTACGAGAAGCCATGCGCCTTGAATGCATTCCAGACGTCTGCGATGTCGTCGAAGCGGCGTCGCTTGGAGAGCGCGCGGACGTAGCACGAGAGCGTGTCGCACAGAATGATGAAGCTGTGCAGCTTGGATGCGCGCTGGTTCTCGCTGTCGTCCTCGAACAACGGCACCTTCAAGTATCTGACACCCAGTTCGAAGATCTGGGGCCGGCAACTTCAAAACCATATCCACCCTCCCGCTTCTCGCGTACGCAGTCTGGATCGCGGTCAGGATGCTCAGCGTTGGCTCTGTCCGCGTTCCTGGAACGCTTCCAGAGCTGTTCCACTTGCTCGATGCGCCCGCGTAGTCATACGACCGGATCAACGGAAGGTAGAGCTTGTCGTGCGCGGTTCGTCGCCCATACGATGGCAGGTCCCACGACCGGTCTCCCCCGTCCAACGTCTTGAGGAAGTCCTCGGCCATCTTGTAGCTCTCCCGCGTGCCATCTAGTCCATACGCAAAACCAGCGCGGAGTAAGTCGACGGGTTCGGCTCCAACCCCCGACCCAGCATGTCTTCGTACACGTCCAGCGCACGTTGCCGATCGCGCGCACGAACGAACCCGCCATGATGATAGTCATCACATGGGGCCGTAATGTGCCGATTCGAGCCCCATGCGCCGCCAGCCGCTCCATTTCGGCGAATATCTTGGTCGCCGTCTGCATCTCGCGCCGTTTGCAGGCCGACTGGATCAGAAGCGCGAACGTAATCTGTCGGGTCGCACGCGCATCCGCTCCAGGTGCTGGAACACCCGTGACACAATCCGGAACGGCGCACCGATGTTGACATAGGCTTTGAGCAGCAGATGTAGGCGGCTATGTCTGCTTTAGGTTGTTGGTCAAGATAAAGTCAAAAGCCTGGATGGCGCCCTTCCACGACGCGGCTCGATGTGCGCATCGACAATGACGGAGACCATCTGCGTGTCGGGGACGATACCCTCCGCGACGGCCCGCGCGTACAGAGACTCGACACTCGACGGGTCCTTTCGATGTGCCATGAGCGTCATGACAGTCGTGTACGTCACGATATTCGGCGGTGGGCCCAGCTTCGCGCATCTGCTCCATCAACGAGGCAACCGACTGCAAGTCACCCCGCTCATCGCGAAGCTCTTCACAGCGTGTAAACACGTACACGTCAGGCTCGATCCCGCGGCTCGCAGTCCTTCCAGCCACGGCACATTTCCGCCGTAGTCACCCTTCTGCGCATGCGCGAAGATGCCCACAGCAAAATGCTCCAGCAGCGGTGCGTTCATCGGCACTCCCCTATCATCTGGGGGGAAATACTCGTCGAAGATCTCCCGAGTTTTTTCCGTCTTGCCCAAGACCGCGGACGCATACATCAACTGGAGCACAGCCTTGACATTCATCCACCCCGCAGCACCGATGCGGGTCGAAATACAGCTTCGCATCAGCCCTCCCTGCCCTCGTTGGAGTGCAGGTACAGCCCCGTGAACAGATATTCGTAGCTGTGTTCGCGCGGAATCGAGTCGTACAGCCCGTGAGCGTCAACATACAAGTTCGCGCGCGCTAGGACGCGGACGAGCTGCAGGGGGAGGTGGACCGCAGGCTTTAGTTTCTGCCGCTTCATCTCCGCACGACATCCAGCGCTTCCAGCGGTGCTTGGTGCGGAAGTAGGATTCGATGAGGAGATCGCCCAGGTGCCGCACGTTCTGCTCTGGCCAGTCGCCCTGCTTGTCCGCCAACACGATCGCAGGGAGAGACACGCGGGAGACAATGTGGAATGCCGTCTTGCGCAGCGAAGCACCCGCCGTCACAGCCGTGGCCAGGTCAGCATCGGAGGCATACTCGCGGCTGCTTTCGGTGATCAGGAAAGAGCCGATGGCCTTCCACTCGAACACAAGAAACTCGGCGGCCTGCACGGGATCGCGGTGCCGCCAAGTCGAGACCAGGATAGATTCGTAGGCATGCAAGAATGGACCAAAGTGTTTGTGCCTTGGTTGCTCCGTATGCATGACATCGAGCGCGTCTTGCAGTTTGGCCTGGAGCGCCATGGCTCGCGCGGTGAGGTATCTTCCCGTGGTCGGGTCAATCTTCTTGGCCGACGGCGTGTCCTTGAGGATTTGGAGAGCGTAGTCGCCCAATTCATGCACATCCTCTATGTCCGGGTCCCTCCGTAATCGCCCTTCTCCAAACACTAGAAACTTGGTCACCAGCTGCTCAACGTCCCGGCTGGAGATTCGACGGAGGAGGTCGTGGATGCCCACGGTCTCGTACGCATGCCAGACCTGCCGTGGGTTGATGCGGCCTTGCGGCTCGGCAATGAGTCGTCGCAGATAGGAGAGCGCCACTGCGGCTGACATTTTCTGAGGCAGAGGTGGCGAATCTGTCTCGGAAATGTCGTCTAACGGCGGGGGGCTAGCCGGGTCTGGATCGGCGACGGCATCAAGGGGAGAGTCTAGATCGTCCAGCGGCGCCTGCTGGAGACTTGATGCAGAGACTTCAGCTGGAGGAGAAAATAGATCGGAATACGCGCTCGAAGAAGGGGGAGGCGGGTCGGATGAGGAGGACGAGCGGTCAGAGCGGATCGCGTGACGAGACAGAGTGCGATGTAGCACGGGTGGAAGACCGACACGTCGTCGGGGCGGACCATCGCCTGACCTTCTTATACGCCGTGTATTCCTGGGAAATGATTTCTGAGCCAACGAATATTCGTCTTCAGTCGGGTTTTCCATCCCATCTGTCACACAGGTCAAGTTCCGCACAGAACCCAAACGAGAGCCGAGCTCACTGAGACACCAAATGGACACTCGCATCCTGCATGACCATTCCTGGCATTTCTCAGAATATGCTGCCCTCGCGTCGCCGCGGTCGTGGTGGCGAACCAAGCCGGCGAAATCAACGTCAACCATCCTCTCCTTCCCCTTTCCGCTCCCCGCGCGTCGCGGCACCGGGTTGAAGAACCCAGGCGTCATGAGCCCACCGCTCGAGCGAGCCACGGCAGCGGCAGACCCAGAGACCGAGGCAGGGAGCGCGAATGCAGCGGTACGGAGTGAGTTGAGGATGATCGACCCGACTGGCTCGACCATGTAGAGGTCCCGAAGCCAGTGTTCTGTCGTCCAGTCTGCAGCAGCGCATCGGGTCAGTAAGTCTGCACGCAGAAACAGGCGAGGAGGAAGACAGCGCACCTGCACCGGCAGCGTTGAGTCTTTCTGAAAAAGTAAGAATGGAATTTTGGAACGTGACGTGACGATCAAAGTAACGTCTGAGTGTGTGCAAGGGCCCATCGTTAAACAGAGCTTTGACCGCCAATTTCGTAGCAAACTCCCGAAATCGGTCTGAGCAGTCATATGTACGTTTACATTGCGCTATGGACCGTGATCTCAGGCCAGACTATATATTCTCAAGGCTCAACGACCTGAAATGAGTTGATACGGATCAAAATGTTCCCACGCATCCTTGATGGCTCCGATTATCGTCTCTACAGAGCTCATTCACTCGAAGGGCAGAGCAGTCGAAGGCGTCATCGAGGAATGCCATAGACTGCGAAAGGAAGTGTTCCATCTAGAGCAGGTCCCGCTTTCCGTTCACTCAGCCTATGCTGCTCCTCACCCACTTCCTCAGGGATTCCCGCTTGACACTGAGTTTGACGAGTCCGTTCTGTTTCACGAGCGGTGAATTCGATCCTCTGACGTCTCTAGGGTGGAAGACTTGGCGACTCATTTCTTGTTGCGCGTCACCGAAGAGGATCCTGACACGTCGATCCGCACCGTGAAATCCGTCGGCACGATCCGTGGAACGACGCCCGAGATCTACCCCGCTATCAATCGGTACAAACTATCTCGGTGAGCACGGTGCTGCTGGATGCACCTTCGTACTGACAGGCTTCTTAGATTGGTGGTGGACAAAGACTACAGGAAACACCGGTTCGGCCGCGTCCTTGTTGAGGAGCTGCACCGCTGGGTCCAAGACGATGCAAAAGCGACGCAACGGCCCGCAGTGATCGAATGCCACTCTCAGATCCCTGCAATGGGATTCTACGCCAAGTGAGTGGACTGGCCAGCGCGCTTCACTTTTTCTGACGCCATGTCAGATTCGGATACATTCCAGAGGCGAGTCGCTTCCACGAAGGAATCCATCCCTGAGCCTAATCTTTCGCAGGGCGAGCAGTTCGATGAGGACGGGCAACCGCACCAGGGCATGATAGTCACTCTGCCCATTTCTGAATAGAAATAGATGTCTTGTTGTCGGCGAGTGAGTGTGTAATAGTACATTGTTCCATTCTAGATAGGACTGTTACACCACGAGACTATATTTGCAGGACCTGCGACATCCAGCATGAGCTGGGTGAAATCAGAGGCGACTGATGCTCACCTTCTTCGCGGCTTGCCATGACGCGAGCGATATCGCTTGTGTGGGCACCTGTGCGTGAGACGTGAGCAACAGCGGGTGGAAGAAATCCAATCTCTGCACCTGCTTGAACAAACCGATCCCTAGCCCGGTGAAGAATCCCCGCCAGCCAGAGGCTTTCCACACGCCGTTCACGACCTCCCTGATACCAAGCATGCGATCCGGCGTGCCTTTTCCGCTGGCCTGCTGCGTTCGGCGGATGACCTCTAGCGGGTACGTGAACACTTGTGACACAGTCCCCGCTGCAGCCCCGATGGCCAGGTGTATTCGAGTCTGGTTCGCTCTGAGCGTCGCGGGTGAAAGTACAGCCCGGGACTGCGCGTTGAGGGTCTCCCAAACGAGGAAGATCCCACCCCGATATGGGACCGTGCCAAGGAGTGACACAGTAAAGCCGCGATAGAAGTGCAGAAACGGGAACACTCTTGTGATCCCTCGCGATGATCTCCCTTCGGCCATGATCCCCCGAATGGCGCCCCATGGCGTGGGACGCGCGATGGACTGCCCCGTCTCGACAGCCATTCGCACGCGGATCAGCTCGAAAGGATATGTTAACGGCATAGCAGAGATTCCTGGGACAGTCATTTAGTCCTGGGAGGGAGTGATCGGACGAACGAGAGAATATCACCGGTGATTGCCCCGGCGGCCAGCCTTCGGAAAGAAGTACGTGATTCAGGTGTGGGCATTAACCACTGGGAAACAAGAACATTATCCATTATCAGAAGCTCAGAAGGACGGAACAAGGATAACGCACCACGCTGACTTTCTCGTACACCGTGTAACCAACGGCAGCATGTGGTATGGCCCGCGCAAGTGTCAAAGTGTGTCCTTGGAAGAGCCCTCGCACGCCCTGGGTATGTGAAATGTGCTGCAAAGCCTGGACCGCGCCCCTCCAAGATCCTGTTAGCACCGTGAGCATGTGGACGGCTCTCCCCGACTCGTGTGACCTCACCAGCGAAACGAACAAACTCCGCATTCTGTGTTTGGAGCAGAATCTTCACCCGGTCGAGAGGCGCAACAGCCGTCTTAGCCTAGCATCACGCTAAGTCAATCAGTGAGTCTGGATGAGAGAACGGCGTATGATACTCACCAAGCCGCCCGCGAAACCCCCCGCTATCGCAGAACGAACGAGAAACTCAAATTCAGAGAAGGGCGGATGAGTGGCGCTGCGTAGTGATGAGTCTGTCATAGGCGCCTCGCCGAGATGCGGTGTACGGCGCAACGTCGGGCGCGGGAGCAAGGTTAGGATGAGAAAGTGGTAATCACTGGGTCGGAGAAAGTCTTAAAGGCGGCAGTGCCACTGATCGATTGACGTAATGGTGCTTGCTGATCAGTCGTCCAGTCAATCAGCAGTGTTCCTTCTCGACGCGAATGAGCGTTTCGGTCATTTCTTGGACGATGGCTGTGAAGCACAAAGAACTTGTGCTCATTTGCCAAACTTCATCTCTCTTTCTTGAACGCAAGGTGTCTGGCAGACACACTTGAATGTGCTTGAAGGATGACGGAGGTCCAAGCGGATCCGACCCGCTATCCACAGGCTGGCTCAGAAAAAAAATCCTCATTATATATGGTATCCATGTATGCGCAATCTTTTGTCTATAAATACGAAGCAGCCATGACCAAATCTAGGCCTGTGGAAGCACAAAGTAAGCAACTGCGTCATACAGCTTCGGCAACAAGACACACCTTAGCCGCAGGCTGCATGAACATTCCGAATCCAGCGCCGGGATGGCCCTGGCTCTGCTCCTCGAGCTCGAGCTCCCGGCTGATCTGCGTGAGCGAGCATGGGGCGCAGCAGCACGAGAGCAGGCAGTCCGACACGCCGGTGCCCTGCACCAAGTACCTCCCGCGGATGGTCGCGCGCCCGCCCATCCCGACCAGCCCGCCGCAGCCGAAACACTGCGCGGCTCCGTAGATGATGCTGTCGTTGCTGATGACGCCCTCCATGGGGTCCTTGCTGACGGACTGCGGGGAGTGGATCAGGTGACTGTTCAGAATCGCAGACAGCACAGCACGCGACTGACGTTCTGCTCCAGAGCTTGGTATCGGGCCATGTTACGACCGTGTGACACACACGGCAGAAACCAGGAGACGACACCTTGTGTTTGTCAGATGGTTTTGTACGCCCAAGAATACGAGGAGAGGAACTGACAGGTAAGCGGGTCTGCGAGACAGTCGAATATGCCGTGTGACCACTCGCGCTCGCCATCGACGAAGGGCATGTTGTTCGCGTTGAGGTTGCCACCCGCCTTCATCTGCTCAGTCGGACGCGGTTGTTGGTTGTACTGCAAAAAGTCGTCAGTCGCGAGCCTGAGAAGGGAGAACGAACACCTGACAGCCATTGGTGCGGATTTTGTTTGAAGTGTTTTGAAAGTATCAAGTGAGTGTGGATGTGCTGAGTAGCTTCGAAAGAGATCGCACTGCGAAGAGAGAAAAGACGGTTTTCTGTGGGGGTTGTAGATCGCATTCCTATGCTTTATATTCCCGTGGTTTGAGCTTATTCGTGTTGGCGATGGATTGAGATATGTCAGTGCCAGACAGACAGAGCAAGCGCTGGCTGTCCGACATGTCGCCAGTAATTGCTTCCTGCAAGTCGCGGCGGTATTGGTCGATTGGCAGCGCGAGTCAAGATGGGCGGCGATTTACAGCGGCCGCCAGCAGCTGCCGATGCCTCCGAACTTGGCTTGAAACAGATATAATCTGGCATCTATCGGATTCTGGCAGTTCTGGAGCTGCTGGAGCTGGAGCGCTGAAGGTTGAATGTTACGTGCAACTTCAAGGATTGAGAGATGAGCATCGCCACAGTCATCCATGACACCTTGCGCCCATCGACGAACCAGCTGTCAGTCACATGCATAGATGCCTACCGGGTGATGCCTTGCGGACGCTCGGGTCCTCATTGACGAGTGGAGAGACGACGTGGGAGCCATCCTTGGCCAAGGACCACTCGCCGTCTGCCATTCGCGTGCATTCGTGAGACATCAATATTCATTAGAAGAGAGCATCAGAACAGAGTCTGGAATACGTCAAGGGCGTAACAGATCATAAGAATTACCGCAAGGGCAGGAACGACACGGGATCGACGACGTTCCAAACCCCGACATGAGCGAAGGCGGGCAGAAGATGCGCGGTGATCAACCAGATCTGACGCGACTCCCAATCAGCGCGTGCGAGAAAATCGAGTCTAGGAGAATAGTGCGTACGTTGTACCACCAGTAAGAAGCACGGTCGGCCTCGACAGAATGGTCCTGGATGAAGCCCACCGCGGCCTTGAGACCGAGGAGACCGAGGTAGAGCGTGACGAGCGCCGGCGGGGCCCACAGCCAGATCAGAGCCGCCGTCCAGGCTGCGAGCAGAAGCGCGAGCGACCAGCGTCCCACACGAGGCGACAGAATCATGGGGAGGGTGACCCTCCCGATGGCAGCGTCGCCGTCGCGGTCCCGAAAGTCCTGAGCATGCCCGGTCGTGGTGTGCAGCAGGCCGCTGAGGACGATCGCCGTGGTTGAGAGCGTCGAGAGCGGGGCGCCGTGGTCTGGAACGGGAGATGAGAGAGAGGGGAAACCCGGAAAGTGGGCGGTGGCGAACCGAACATGACGGTCGTCCCCCAGCAGTAACACACATAGCCGATGGATCCCAGGAATGACTTGCAGAACCAGTTGCGCGACATGGCGAGCTCGTTGTAGCAGAAGATGGCCGCCAGGTACAGAACGGTGCACGGCAGGAGACCAAACTGCGCGCTGAACACGGTAGAGACGAGGGCGATGACCCAGTAGAGGTCTTGCGCTGCCCCAACAGAGATACGGCCGGCCACGATCGGACGGTTGGGCTTGGAGAGACGATCCTCCTCCAGACCGGTGATCTGAACATTGGGACTGGGCGAAGAAACCTTCAGAAAAGGACGGACGAACCTGATTTTTTATCTGGGGCGGTCGTCAGGAAAACCGCGATAAGAAAGTGCCTTGAAATTTACCTCGAACGTGAGGAGATGCAACTCGAGCCAGACGAAGCCTCGTATGAACGCCCCGAGATCAGTAGGGCCCGCCAGGACTAAAGCGACCGCCAGCTTCGTAGGCAGTGAGTCGATGCGGATGGAAATAGACCGAGCAGCACGAACCGACGGCCCGAGGATGGGAACCATATCGGACTGGCTGAACAGAGACACGGTCTTGATAAACTCGAACACCATTTCTTCCCGAGGCGCAGTGTAATCAGAGGGTGGAGACCAGCGTTTTATAATCCAGAGCACATCCCGGTGCGTGGGCTTGACGCGCAGGCACCGTGCAGGCCCTGTGGCCTATCACCGGTGCGTTATCTCAACTAGCGCCGGCCAAATCCAGAAAAAAGGTTCCCAAATCATGAATCGCAGAAGAAAAAACGCGTCGCTGGGCGACGAGACGAAGTCGGCTGAGGCTCAGGAACTGATGAATTTCAGTTTCTGCGTGGAGATGAGTTGAACACGTGGGGCTGAGGACATTCTGGGACAGCCAGTAGGAAACTGTTGGAATAAACTTTGTGCATGTGTGATGTTTGGTGACATGTACACATCCATCAGTCCTTGATTATTCCCATTGGAATTCGTCTAGCAGCTCTGCATCGAGCGTGTTCGGAGTGGCATTCTCACCGTGAATCGGGCGTCATTGTAGATGCAGAACAACGGGCGAGACGATTAGTCATCAGATGTGAGCCACTGTAATTTCTATCGCTCTTTCAACCGCCACATCATGCATTTCCGGAATCGTTCAATTAACCTGATGCTCCACTATGTCTGGATCCGCATTCTCAGAAGCCGGACCGTGATCTTCTCCGTCACACCCAGTTTCCTAAAAAAAGTGCTATGTTTCGTGATGCGGCGTCTGGCTGCGCGTCAAGTAAGACATTCCATTACCAGGAAGGGGGCCCTTTTGCCTAACATAGGAAAGGCGTCGACTTTCCGCGACGTTCTGATTTTCTGGGCTCTATTCCTCCATCACGCGTCCGATCTACCACCGGTTTCTGGAAGCGCTTCGGTAGAACATGTGGGCGTCTGTTTCCCTTCGGGCTATTTTCATGGAACTGGATGCCGTTCGCGGCATCACGGTTGAAAGGGCCCGGGAAAATGAACACGATCCCAACAAATCGACCCTGCACCCCCTCCTTTAGCTACCCCATCTCATGTCCTCTCCGCACACTGCGCAACTGCAAATCCATTTCGTCGTCGTAGGCGGTGGCATCGGAGGCCTGGCGTGTGCCTACGCGCTGGCGATTGCCGGGCACGACGTGACGCTGATCGAGAAAAGCGCCTTGGACGCCAAGGTTCTGCGCGTGGCCTGATATATCGAGTGTGCGACTGACTAGCGTTTATTCGTCAGACCCAAGGCAGCGTGCGATGCCCCCCGAATGTGACCCGCCTCCTTTTGCAGTGGCCGGGAACCGCCGAACTCTTCAAGGAGTCCGCGACTACAATTTCGGGGTGAGTTTATTCCCAGTCTTGTATCGACTCTGGTATCTCAACTCGCGGCCAGATTGTCGTTCAGGGACGGTGAGCGGAACGGTGCGGACCCGCCGATTGACGACTGAGCTCGGTACAGGTCAGACGGGCGAGCCGATCGGCTTCATGCGGTTCTACGAGGAAATCATCTCGGACCTCCAGGCTGATTTCTTCGCGCTCAAGGTCAGTTAGTTTTTCCGATCCATATGCGCACAGGTGATCGAATTTTGTAGCACGACGACCTGAGGCGCCACCTCGTTTCTCTCTGCGTGAGCAGTGGACGAGTCGAATTCGTCCGCGGGCATGTCGTGGGCTCGCCGAAGGAGTCCGTCGACGGCCACGTTTCGGTGACGCTGCAGAACGGCCGGGTAATTTCCGGAGACCTCATCGTTGGTGCGGATGGCCATCAGAGCATTGTCCGAAAACTTTTCTTCGACGAGCAAGAACATTCGGATCTCATTGTTACTGGGTGAGTGCAGTGTTTTACATTCTTCTGTTCCACTCTGATTCGAGTTTCTAGCGCCAGTCTGGTGATTCCTACCCAAGCTGTTGTAGACCGCGGTCTTGCCAACGAACACGAGGTTTGTGGTTGCACGCCACCATATGTCCCACGTTCTCCGCACTCACATAAACTTTGCAGTTCACAATCTGGGCGGGGGATAAATCGATGATGACCGGGATTCTCGATGCGAGTTTTCCAGCATGGAACTGTTGCCATGGCTGACAACTCTGTCGCAGACTACTAGCGAAACCTTTTATCTCGGAATCTGCACCCCTCGCTCGGTCGCGGCTCTCAACTGCGACTGGTTCAAGAGTTACGACAACAGTTTTCTCCCTGCCTTTGATCTAACTGGGTATGACCCTCGGTGCGTCCGTCCCTAATTGTTTTCCGGCGTGGTGCTAATGTTGCTTTTGCCAGTCTCAGGGAGTTGATTGAATGTGCTATCGATTGCCATCCTACGGTCCAAACAGTCTACGAGGACCGTGATGTTGTGGCACCCAATTCCCGGGTCATTCTCATCGGCGACGCGGCCAATTCTACATTGGTGAGTGAGCTAGTATGTCTGAGCTTTCCCCATTGTCTGATCCCGTCTCAGCTGCACGGAACGCACAACACCTCGATGGCTGTAAGGACACAAATTTTCGGCCCTTATCTCCCACTCATACCTCGCCAGATCGAAGACGCCGTGACTTTGGGCTCCCTCTTCTCGAGGTTGAGCAAGCGTGAACAGATCGACATCGCAATCGAGGCGTACGAGGACCTGCGTCAGACCCGGGTGGAGCAGACTCAGGAATCCGAGTACGCGTCTCTGCACCAGATCAGTCTCCCGGACGGCGTTGAGCGCCAGCGCCGCGACGCCGTGTTGGAATTGACGCTCCGGCCAGAATACGAGAGCTTCGAGGACTGCAGCGACTCGGACGACCTGATCGAAACTTGGGAGCCGTACCTGGCCGTGTTCAACTACGACGCCATCGAGGCCGTCGACGATTGGTTCTCCCAGCTGGCCTTCATCTTCAACGATGTGCCTGACGTCGTGGTGTGATGTGTCGTTGGTGCCAAGTCCTCAAAAATACCCTCATTTGCTCGTACATAATCTGGATTGTAGATCACTTGTATAATAATACGTCCCCAGTTGTTACCCAATTCATCTATCTTGTGATACTCCAGTGGGACACTCAAGTTGAAATTACTAATTAGCCCCCTGTCAACGGCTGTCATGACGCATCCATCCATCCATCACAAGCGGCACGTGAATCCATGACTTGCGCTTAGGCCACACTGCGATGCGGGAGCCGAAACACTGACGACGACCCTACTGACCTGTACATTTCTATTCGACGTACTATCTACATCTGCGACCATCTCATATCACGACCACGAACGCCATCCGCGATGCCCGCGCAGTCGTTGATTGTGCCGACGATCTTGCCTACCGGCACCCTCCATTTTGCGGAAGTCGAGCACAGCGCCACGGCGCAGGACGTGATCAATGCGCTGCTGCTAGTCGCAGACTTGAAGAGCGAGATACTGGGGGACGTGGAGGAGGGGGATGCAGGGTGGGCTCTGCAGACGATTAGGGTGGAACGGCCTGGACGGCCATGGGAGGAGGTCGAGCTCGAGGCCTTGGGAGACGGTCAGCCCGAACTCTCTTTTCTCACCCAGTAGGCGTCTGAGCACCGGACAGGCACGCTTGATCCCACGACGCCCGTAGCCCCACTCGTAGAGACGACGACGAGCCCCCGACCCCCGATGCAACGACACTTCTCCTCGTTCCCGATGACCTCGCATCTGCACAATCCCGTTCTGCGCCTAGTTTCACTACATCCAGCGCTATCAGTATCTTTCACCTTCGCGCGCGTCTGGGAGATCCACGACACCTTTCTGTACAAGATCTTCATCTCTCGCAACACGACTGTTGCGGAAGTCATCGAGGCTGCGGTTGAGGAGCTTGGATTGGCTAAGACGCTGCCTATACCCGGCGGAGGAAACTTGGACTATGTAATAGAAGAGGTCTGGGAAGACGGAGAGACTAGTGCGTTCACCATTCCCTGCTCATCGCACTGACTGACGGACACTCCTGATTCCTCTGCAGAAGCAACCAAGCTCCCCGGCTCGTCAATCATGTATAGAATCGTCCGGACACCGTTCACCGCCAACCCTCTCTCGTCTTCCGCCACCCGCTCCTTCCGTCTGTGCGTTCCAGATGAATGGTACCGCAGGTCCAAGTCCCGCAGTGTCTCCGGTGCATCAATAGAACCCTCCGAGTCCACGATCCGGCGCCTTGCCTCTCTGCAGGAGCAGGAGGAAGAGGACGAGGGAGAGGATCAGGAGGGCACAGCCAAGCTCACCGACACTGTCGTTTCACCCCGATCGAGCTCTGCCGAAGAACCCGCGCCCAGCAATCGATTGTCGATGATGTTTGATGGATGGCTGCGAGGGGGCCCGAGTCGGGATAGTGTTGTGGTCCCAACCTCGGCAGCGGAGAACCGCAAGAGCATCGTGAGCGAACCGAAGCTTGTGCCGCACTTCACCGGCGGCGGACTAAATGATGCGGATCCTGCTGAGGAGGATCAAGGATTCGACGAGGCTGCGTTCGAAGCCATGCTTGTATGTCTTGTCCATCTTTTGTTTACTTTCGATGCACAATACTGATCAAAAATAGGACGACCTGGGTCTCAAAGGCGACAAACGAACGGCGATGCACAACATGGCGCCAGAGAGGAAGCGCTATCTGCTCGGGCAAAGCCGACAGGCCAAGCCTAAGGCTCATGCGACACCTCCGAAAGCCGCCGGCTACGCCCAGTCGTACGGCCCATCGAGTGCAGCGGCCCTGCTTCCTAGGCTGGTGCCGCAGCTGACTGGCGATGGGCTCATGAAACGGTTCTCGATGACGGGCTGGGGCGCCGCATCACCCCTCTCAGAATCCGGAAACTTCGACCCCGAGCCCGAGGTGGCACCCGCCGCAGAGGAAATCGCACCCCTGCAAGCGCAAAGCACGGGGGGCCTGTGGAGCAGCTGGTGGGCGTCGTCAGGTGGCGACAAGGGCACCAGCGGCTCCAAGGAGACGAGCAAATCGGCGAAATGGTACGTTGATGGCCTGCGCTCGAGCAAGCCCGACGTCAGGCTCGTGAAACACCTCATCTCGCTCCGGGTACATCTTTCGACGGCCAAGTTGCTCTGGATTCAAGAGTTCGTCGGGGATGAGCATGGCTTGGATGTGCTCGGGACGTTGCTAGCTGGGCTGGTCGCCAAGGGCGGCAAACGACGGACTCTGACGGAGGTTGAGACGACTGTGCTTCATGAAGTGATCAAGTGTTTGAGAGTACTACTTAACACCGAGGTCCGACATTCATTCTCTACATTGGCGCGATTACTGACTCAACTCGTCACAGCCCGGATTCAACCAAGTTCTGGGATCGCCGGCCATCATCACACACATCGCATACTCCCTCCACGCAGCGACACCAAAACTGCGCAGTCTCTCTTCAGAATTGCTGGCGGCCATCTGCGTGCTGTCACTGACGGAAGGCCACAAGGCCGTTCTCGCCGCCCTGTCCGACTACCGAGTCGAATTCGAAGAGTCCTTCCGCTTCGAGGGACTCATCGCCTCGCTGCGGTTGCCTGATCCGGCGACGGATGTGGAGAGCGACGACGGTCTCGAGATGAGCGCGAGCGAGGAGGACGGCGCGTGGGAAGCGAGGACTGCGTCCATGGCGCTGATCAACGCGCTGACGAACTGCCCCGAGGCACTCGAGGACCGCGTCATGCTCCGAGAAGAGTTCGGACGGCGGGGCCTGAACGAAGTCGTTGTGGTGCGTCGATGCTTTTGTATGCTACTGATCGACCAATTGACGCTTTTGAAGGCTCTGCGGTACATCAAACCCCCGGATACTCTGCTTACGCAACTAGACGTCTACACGGAAGAAAAGTTTGAAGACGAGCAGGACATGCGCGAGCGTGCGCGTGACCTGATGAGCCGGTCGCAAGAAAGGGGATCGTCGGAGTCGGCGCTGGAGAATCTCATAAGGCTGGCTAAGCAGCACGGGGAGTTGTATCCGATGATGATTGAGATTATGAACCACTACGGCCAGATCCTCGAGAAAGATATCGGGATGTGAGTGCTCTTAGACTTGTATTGATCGGCTCGCCAGCTGATGGGCAACCAGGCAACTGAAGGCGGACTTGTTCAAGATTCTGGATCGGTTTGTGGAGCAGGCGGCGATGCTGGATGATTTGTGAGTTCCTAACCTTGAAGAATTCACACTACTGAAGAGTAGCAATTGCAGCGACGACGGCTGGCAGCTTTTCATGAAGCGTTTCGCAGCTTCCGTTGTGCACATCACGGGCCAAGAACTCGAGGTTAACGCGCCTTCGGATTCCGCATCGAGTTCTATCGCTGAGCAAGAGCTCGAGTCTCTTAGGACTAAATATGAGGAGCTGAGCGACGAGGTAATCATGCTTCTCTCTGAGTAGAGTTTGCTTCTGATGGGTTTCCACAGCGTACCGAGCTGAGGAACAAGCTAAATCAGCAAATCGCTGAGATGAACACGCTGAAGAGTCTACCGCTGAACCTGCAAGTTCCCAACACCAAGTCCAGCGGCAAGAGTGGCGAGGTGAGCATCGCTATCTGTTTACGTGTCTCCCGTCTGTGTACTTAATGGCGTAGAACTTCCATGGACTGGTGCAGCGACTGGTCCAGAAGGAGAAGCAGGTGCTCCAGCTCCAGGCCGAGGTAGATCGCTTTAAGGCTCAGAATCCGGGCGAAGCTAGGGAAGCGGTGCGTCCCATGCTCGCTCCATGTTGTTTGCCTCACTGACGAACATCTTGCAGGACGATCGGGCGAAACGGGAGCGCGACAGAGCCAAGTGGAACTCGTTGAATGATGAGATTGCCAAGCTCAAGACGAAGGTGGGTGGTGGTTGATTCGCCGGAGGGAGACAGATCGTTGAAGCCATCCTGCAGAACGCCGAACTCGAATCCGCTGGGGCTTTCAAAGATAAGGAGATCACGTATCTGAAGCGGGCGCTCGAGTCGGTCTACACGCGCTTCATCTCGCGGGAAGAGTCCAAGGAGGAAGCAGAAATGGACGCCGCGATGATGGCATCGCGCACGATCGACAGTTTGACGCGCAAAGACGAAGAGATCGCGGCTCTGGTGGTCGAGGTCAACGAGCTCCAGGCCAAACTAGCGGCCAAACCCGCCATGACAGAGAAAGAGTTCAAAGCTGCTCACGCGCCGCCACCTCCCCCGCCGTCCAAACGCGCGTCAGTCAAGACGAATTCGCCCCGGTCGCCCCCGCCCCCTCCGCCGCCTCCACCGCCCAGGCCGCCGACGCGGTCTGTCACGCTTCCCGAGTTGGGAACGACAGCCCAGTCTTCGCCTCCTCCGCCCCCGCCGCCTCCAGCCCCGCCCAGTCCATCCTCGATGCCATCATCGCCTCCGCCCCCACCACCCCCACCACCACCGGTTACTGGGAATGCGCCGCCTCCGCCTCCTCCGCCGCCCCCACCGTCGACAATCGGTGTCGCAGCACCGCCACCGCCTCCACCGGGCAGCGGGGCACCACCCCCGCCGCCGCCTCCGAGCGCGTTCCGATCCCCTGTCAGGGTCTCGAAGCCGGCCAAACGGCTGAAGCCCTTCTTCTGGAACAAGGTGAATGCGGCGGGCGGCTCTGTGTGGAACGACATCGGCGCTGGGTTTGAGTTCAAGATGGACGATCTGGAGGCCACGTTCACGCTTGACAACACGCCGACGACGCCGTCCCAGCTGCGCGCCAGTCCGAAGAGGCAGGCGGTGACGACGCTGCTGGATATCACCAGGGCGAATAACATTGGTGCGCAGCTGTGTGTGTGCGCTTACGTGATTTTTCTGACTGTCGATTTGTAGCGATTATGTTGTCGCGCATCAAGATGGGATTTCCTGACATCAAGCAGGCGTTGCTGGATTTGAACGACGAGAAGCTGTCAGTGGACGATCTGAAGGCGATCAGCAAGCAGCTGCCCACCGCAGAGGAGATGGGGCGGATCAAGGATTTTGACGACGACTTGGGCAAGCTGGCCAAAGCGGACCAGTACTTCGGGCAGGTGATGACGATCCCACGTTTGTCCGAACGGCTGGAATGCATGCTGTACCGACGTAAGCTTGACTTGGACATCGAGGAGATCCGGCCAGAGCTGAACATCCTGCGCAATGCGTCGCACGAGCTGCGGTCGTCGCTCAAGTTCAAGCAGGTGCTGCAGGCCGTGCTGGCGCTCGGCAACGCGCTGAACGGGTCGACGTTCCGGGGCGGAGCGCGCGGGTTCCAGCTGGAGGCGCTGCTGAAGATGAAGGAGACGAAGACCGCGCGCGGGGGCGCCGACTGCCCGACGCTGCTGCACTACTTGGCCCGCGTGCTGATGCGCACGGACGTGTCGCTCGTGAACTTCATCGAGGAGATGCCGCACCTAGAGGCGGCGGCGCGCGTGTCGCTGCAGACGGTCGCGCAGTCCGTCGCGACGCTCGTGGCGGGGCTGGCCCAGGTGAAGGACGAGATGCAGAAGAAGAGGCAGGCGGGGTCGCCCCCGGGGATCGCTTTGTATATGTTATGCAGCCGTTTGCGGGGCAGGTGGAGCCGAGTGTGGTGGCGCTGAAGAACATGTCGCAGTCGTTGGACACGGAGCTGCGCTCGCTGCTCGCGTATTACGGCGAGACACCCGAGACGACCTCGCCCGAAGACTTTTTCGGGCTGATCGTGTCGTTCTCGACGCTGCTGCAGAAATGCGCACTGGAGATGGTGGACAAGGCTGACTTCAAGACACCCGCGGTCGTAACCACCGCTCCGGAGGAGCCGGCTTCTGAAGCCGGCTCGTCGACGATCAAGGCTGCACCGGCAGCGGCAGGCAACTCGCTCGTCCCGCCGCCGTCGCACACGCCCAATTCGCAGGGCCGGTCTGTTGGACGTGGGGATCTCGACCAGGCGATCAGGAGCATGCGGGATGGGAAACGGAGGGTGAGGCCGACTCGGCCGCTGAGCAAGATATTCGTCGATGGCGGGCGGCCTGCGAGTCGGCTCTATGACTAATGACCAATCGAGGACCGTATTATCTGTTTATGCTACATACATAATGAAGTGATCTCAATGTACAAGAGACTGCAAATCAAATTATCAATGTTGATGCTTTTCTGGACACGTGATGATGTTCTTTTCGTTTTCGAACCGTGCGAAACCTGTGTTGGTATGGTCCTGGAACGCTGGTAGGTTTATACATACATGCGACACTTTGCGAGAATGCATCAGTGTTTCAATATGACAAGAACACAGACTGTCGGAGCAAGGCGTATCACCTCGGGGAGTATCGGGTCGATCAAAGACTATAAGACGCAGCGGTGGTATCCCTACAAGTTTCAATCTACAAACCAACCAGCAATGCCGCCCCGCCCTTACTTTGCACTACTTCCAATCGGCGTCCTCGGCGTCCTCTACTACCAACACATACGCCTGAGCGCGAAATACCCCACGCGCCGTATCCCGCCGCACCTCGAACTGAGCGCCCAAAGCCTGAGCGGGACGGCGCCTGCGTCCGGAGGGGCGTGGAAGGCGGCGCATGCGGGGGACACGTGGACGGCGCAGGTCCCGCGCCGGCTCGTGCTCACCGCCGCCGCGCGCGCCGGAGGGGAGGAATCTGAATCCGCCGGCGAGGCGGATGATGATCTGGCGGTGGGCTTCGCGCGGGCGTTCTGGGGTAGCTGGTGGCTGCGGCTCGAGCCGCGGATCATCGATGTGCTCGAGGGCGTGCTGAGGCTCGGCGTGTTCTCGAGACGGGAGGGCAGTCGCGGGGAGCACCCGGCTGGGTTTGTGCCTGGGGAGCAGGTCATGACGGGATATGTATGGGCCAGTGCTTTGATTAGATAGATTGCTCCCCCGGATAGTTCCGACTAATCGATTGCAGTTTTTTGTCGAGTCTCATGAGGAGCGACCGAAGATCCTCCCGAACGCGGCTGTGCTACACGGGCCTATCATCGTCTCCTGGTGGCTCCAACCGACTCCTCCGTCCCCGAAACCGGGCCTGCTGGGTGGATATCACTCGTTCTCGGTCGAAGACTCCGATCCAGATTCGCCGCTGGTCACGCTGCAATTCACGTCCACGCTCACGATGTCTGGCTCGAATCCTTCAGGGGATTCGACGATGCCCAGCGCCCAGTTGGCGGGTCTAGATCTACGGCAGAGCATCATCATGAGGTTCCACACGTTGTACTCGAGACTCTTGCTGGACTCGGCTGTGAGGCGACTGGAGAGGGGAGTCTAGAATTATTTAATTATTAGTGTATTCGCAAACTACTATGCTGCATTTCGATAATCAATCTACGCGTCAAGCGAAATCATGTGATCGCGTTCGTTCGCCGCGGCATCAGCCGGCTCTCCGCTCGTTACGCGCATCACGGCCCCCATCATCGCGTCCGAGCATGTGCCCGGACCCTTATAGCTGCTGCTTATCCGCACTCTCCCAGCGCAGACCAGACCACACCCACCTCCGCCATGGTCTTCTCCTGCCTACCATTCCTGGGCCGCCCGACCAACGCAGCTCTCGATGCGGCCGACGTGCCTGAGAAGTCGTCCCGAATGGGCGCACGACCATCAGCACCGTCCTATCGCGCCGCCCTACGCGCGTCGGGCGCCGGCTCCGCTGCAGCCCTGGCGGAGCTCCGCGCGCTGATGACCGAGAACAAGCTCGATGCGTACGTCATCCCCAACGAGGACGAGCACGGGAGCGAGATCCCCGCGTCGAGCGAGCTGCGGCGCGGGTTCATGACCGGGTGCGCATACTGTGTTTGCGTTAGTCGGCTGGGGCATCTGCTGAATACGGAACTCCGGATAGGTTCCACGGCACCGCAGGGCTCGCGGTCGTCACCCAGGACGAGGCGCTGCTGTTCACGGACAGCCGGTACTGGATCGCCGCGGAGAAGGCGCTGGACCCGGCCCTGTGGACGCTCAAGAAGCTGGATCCGCGCGCGCTGGTGCCGGGTGGGTTCCAGGACTTCCTCGTGACTGTGCGCTCCCCGCTCTTCTATACTCGAGTATGCACGCAAATTGCTGACCACACTGCACCACAGCTCCCCGCCGGCTCGCGCATCGGCGTCGACGCGCGGCTGATCCCGCCGTCGCTCAAATCGACACTCGACGCGGCGCTGCCGGCGGGCTCGCGGCTCGTGTGCCAGCGCACGAACCTCGTCGACGCGGTGTGGACGGACAAGCCCGTGCGCTCGACGGATGCCGTAGTCGTCCACCCGCTCAAGTTCACCGGGCGCGGCATAGAGTCGAAGCTCGCGGAGCTGCGCGCGGCCATCGCAGAGGCGGGCGCGGGCGCGTACCTCGTGACGCCGCTCGACGACCTCGCGTGGCTGGTGAACCTGCGCGGGAACGACACGTTCAACCAGCCGTTCTTCTACGCGTACATGTTCGTCTCCGCGGCGGATGCGGTGCTGTTCATCGACCCGCGGAAAGTCAGTCCCGAGGTCGATGCGTATCTGACTGCCGCGGGCGTGCGGACCGTGCCGTACGGCGATGTTTGGGACTTTTTGAAAGCGGAGAAGGCGGAAAACCCGAAGAGCGCTGTGTTGGTGGATCCCAAGGCGTCGTATGCGGTGATAGAGGTCCTGGGGGTAAGTGATCGATGTAAACCAGTTGGCGGATGGATGAACTGACCGCTACACAGGACAAGGCCAAGATCATCCCGTCTCCGATCAACATCTCGAAAGCAGTCAAGAACGACGTCGAGATCCAAGGGTTCTACAATGCGAATCTCCGTGACGGCGTCGCCATGGTTCGTTCCTTTGTTCCCTCTTTAGGAAATCTGTGTTCGAGGCGGAGAATCCAGGTCCGCTGGTACGGTTGGCTCGAGGAGCAAGTGGTCAAGAAGAACAAGGTCGTCACCGAGTATGAGGCCGAGCGCAAGCTGAACGAATATCGGTCCTTCGAAGAATATTGGGGCGGTGACGCGAGCTTCATCAGGTCAGGATTCGTACTTGCGTGTCCCACGGCGTGCTGATAAGGCGAGCCCAGTGCTTATGGGCCCAGCGCGGCGCTTCCTCAGTGCGCCAAAGCTGGTATTCCACTGACATTGGAGACTGAGTTGCGTGCAGTTACGAGGCTGATCCAGAAGACTGTTTGGTCATTGGCAAGCATGCACCTTATCTTATGCAAGTCCGCGTCTGCCCACTTGATACCCGGACGCTCAACTGTGATGATGTGCAGTGACTCGGGACAGCAATACCTCGATGCGACGATTGACACGACCCGGTACGCCGTCCCCTACGACCGCACAGAATCCTTCTCATTCCTTGCGCGGGTAGGACGGTGCACTTTGGGAAGCCGACTGCAGAGCATAAACGAGCCTTCACGCGGGTTCTGCAAGCGCACATCGCCATCGATGCGTTGACCTTCCCCGCTGGGACGATGGGCACCGCTCTGGACGGAATCGTCCGCCACCACATGTGGAAGGACGGGATGTGAGTGCTGCTCCTCACCTGCAAGTGCTGGCAAGACAGGTTTTGACATGGGCTGCAGGAACTTTGGGCATGGCCCGGGGCACGGTCAGCTGTTTGACATCCGGCGTTCTGCGACATGCTGAGCGTCGTGGTTTGCCAGGTATCGGAAGCTACGGAGTCGTGCATGAGAGTGTGTCTCTTGTTCTCCGCTCGGTCTGGAGATGCCAATTTGACATGTTGCATCAAGGTTCGACTGGGATTAGTACTCCGTTCGCACTCCAGCCTGGACACGTCGTCACGAACGAGCCCGGTTTCTGTGAGCGATTTGCTGATTATCCGCTCTCTGCGCTGATGCTTGATGGAACGCAGACGACGAGGGCAAATTCGGATGCCGAATCGAGTCGACCATCGTGGTCGTGAAGAAGAAGGTGCGTTGAGCTGAGCTGACGTGGGCTTTTGTGTATGAACTCAACATCCGTGTCAGACTTACCGCGAGTTTGGCGGCCCGATCTGGATGGGTTTCGAGCGGTTCACCATGGTATGCACCCTTCTTTTCATCCACCCATGTGAGAGAGTGTGTGTGAATCGACGATGATCCGGTCCAGGTCCCGATTCAAACGAAGCTGGTCGACCTCGAGATGCTGACCAAGGACGAGCGCAAGTGGCTGAAGGAGCACAACGAGCTGTGCTACAAGAGACTGCGGCCTTTGCTCCGCAAGGTGAAAGACAAGCGGGCGGAGGCTTTGTTGGGCGATTTCTTCTGATTGTTGTCGCTGCTAGTAAGTATTGTCTTGTACAGGAAGGCTTTGTTGGATCTCCCTGAGCGTTGGTCTGGTCTGGGCTGTGGGCGCGGTAGTCGTGCTGTGTATGATACGCCAAGAAAAAGAGGGAAAAGTGAACGACCGTTAGCCCACCGGGGGGCTCGAACCCCCAGCCTTAAGATATCCGCAGACTGTCCCAAGTTCCAACCACACAGGAGACATAAGAGTCTCACGCTCTACCGATTGAGCTAGGCGGGCACCTGCGCTGATGCGCCCGGCGGCGGTCATCATGTGACGGAGCCGTTTTGATAGTGCAGATAATGATAATATTAGAGACAACAATATAAACCTCCAGTACATAATGATCCCAATTAGACGCCAGAGTCGACGCTCGACTCCAGAGGCAGCATGTGGCCCATGCGGAGGACCTTGGTGCGCAGATACTTGTCAAGGTCCGGGCCGTGCACTGCCTGGCCTCCGATGAGGGTGGCCCCGGCAGCGTGGGCCAGCTCCTCCAGGCTCGGGTCGCGTGCTTGCCAGCTGCGGGGGACCATGGCCACGCGGTCTGCGATGTAGATGCCCTCCTTATGGAGGGCCTCGACTTTGTCCGGGTTGTTCGTCAGGAGCCGCACGCCCTCACCCTGGTTTGGCCCCTCGCCCAGCCCCAGATCCCGCATGATGGCAGCGGCGATCTCGTACCCCCGCTCGTCGGCCTGGTGCCCGAGCATCAGGTTTGCTGTGACGGTGTCGTGGCCGAGATCCTGCAGGTTGTATGCCCGGATCTTCGAGAGCAGGCCGATGCCGCGGCCCTCCTGGCGCATATAGACCACGGCGCCACGTCCGGGGATGGTGACCGTCCTGCCCGCTGCGTCGAACGTCACGGGCTGCGAGATCCTCCGGATAGCCTCGTCCAGCTGCTCGCCACAGTCGCACCGCATGCTGCCCACCGTTTCGCCGGTGAAACATTCCGAGTGGATGCGGACCAGCGGAGGGGGCAGATTCCCTATCGGCGTGTGTTTCGATGTGGAAGGCTGTGAGGCATGGTGCGAATCGGCTGACAGCTGGCCGACGTAGGCGCCCCGAATGATGCGGTCCATCTCGGTCTCGTTCTCGTCCCAGACGGCATCCAGGGAGCGCGAGCGGATAGCAGGCGCGACGAAACCGGCGGCATCGGCGGCATCGGCGTACTGCGCGGAGTCAATCACGAGCGCCAAGTGCTCCTTGTTGTCCCGCGTGTTGTGGTACAGATGCAGGAAGGCGGGCCCATGTGGTGTCGGGATGCGAGTCCGCGCCATGCATTTCACCTGCACCGGCTTCGCACGCTCCGCATTCTGGACGGCCTTGGTGCGCGCCGTGTCGGTAGGGGAGGCGACGACTGACATGCGCCGCTTTTTCGTCGGCGCGGCCGTCGCTACGGCACTGTCGTCGTTCTCCTTCGATTCCTCCGGGATCAGGCCCTGTTGGATGCGCTGCCGTCTCGGGGCCTGTCGGCTCACATACGTGAGAGGCCGTTTGATCTCCTTGTAGTCGGTAATGGGGACGGGAACGCCAGGGAAGAAGTCGTGGTGGTAGTGGTTGCGGGTAACATGGGGGCCCGAAGCTGGGGTTCCAGGCTCAGGAATGGGAAAGGCGGAGAGCCGCAAGGAGACTCACCGACTGCAGCAGCCATGAGAAGCGGATCGAGGGCAGCGTCCCGCCGGGAAAACTTTTGTCTATGAGTGGGTGTAGTGGGTGCAGTAAGCACCTCGAGGAGAGCCGCGTCGCCAATATTATCGAAAAGAGAGTGCATTTCCGGCAAAGTTATAAGGACAAGAACGAGAGTCGCGGTTCAAATACAAGCACTGGTCAGCAAAGACTAAGCAGGAGCTAAGCTTACCGTAAGCGCCGGGGACCCGATGGGTCTTGTCATCAGCTGGTGTCAGAAGACATGACATTGTTTGTATAAGCGATCAAATGCCCCTATTCTTCTCGTTCTCGAATGTTCATCAGAGGCGGGGTACAAGTAAGCAGCTGCGACAGACGCTAGACAGTGGAACCCGTTGTATGATTTGCGGGAGTGAGTGAATCGTTAGGCGCTGCGAATACCTATGCATTGGCCCCAATATAAGAATAGTCCATAATCATCTAGAGACAAGCTTGTCACGGACTCGGAAAGAGAAGCTCTTTCCGCTCCATCTCCTTATGCTGGGGAGCGTATGTGCGATCATTAAGTCCACCCAAAGTCCACCCCGACGGGCCATTTCTCAAGTCATCCCTCGGAATGTCAGAATGAAAGGCCGAGCTCGTGAGATCGTGGCAACGTCGTATAAGATAGGGAGGGAATGAATGGCCTGTTCAATCAGACTCCTGCCGTCCACAGGCCATCTTAATGCAAGCCCTGGCTCGCTAAAATTATCAGCGAGGATGCATGATGCCGATCATGAATGATCGCTTACATAATGGGATCACAATGTAATCCCTCCTTTTTCCGAACTTCTCCAACTGCTATGGTTGCTCGAGTATGAGATGCGTCTTTCGCTGATTCTTCTTCTTTCCGGTACATTCTCTATGTGAGTCCTATCGGTCGAGGGCGCAGTTTCTTGCTCAACCTAATCGGCAGCGTTCATGCTCTTCCCTCCGTGACCTCCAGGACTGAGGACAGCGATGAAATAACAAGCAGGTCGTCGTCTGCGCATCCCGGAACGACGAGTTTTCTTTCCCACACCTCCCAGTCTGCATCCCCCTCGCACAAACCCACGTCCGAATCAACCCGGCATGTGTTCTCCGCCCACACTTTACCTCCTCAGTACAGCGACCGGCCAGTCGGGAATCCGCAGCCAGTGCCAACGCGCACTTTCGAACCTAGACCGAGACCGACAACACCCTTCCAAGATCCCCGACACCATGTGTCAATCTCGGGTCTCATCGTCAAGATCATCGGGATTTTCTGCGCGATTATGACCCTTCTCGCGGTGTCCCGGTGCATATACATATACCGAAGGACTCCGCAGCGAGACCGCGTGCTTGCGGTCATACACCGACATCAACTACAGCGGGAGATGGAGGAGTTGGATCGCAATCCGCCTGAACGACGCCGGTCGCTGGTCGAGCCTCCGCCGCCATACCTGGGCCGACCACCGGAGTATACGACAGACGAGACCACGCGGCTCGCTTCTCCCCGGCACAGTTCTTCGTCCGACGAGTTGCACACACCGGAAATGCGGGAGCGGTGACAGCATGTTAGCGATCCGTCGACTCGTCACCGCGTGGAGATCCATCCCGCAGCGCAAACCTGTTGCGACCGGCCATTTTATTTCTGCGAAAAGCGGTCGGCGGAGCATGCGTGCCATTGCAAGGTGTACTACCATCATCTGGGACTTTGTATCATATCATTCATGGACTGCAAGTACTCGACCTATCTGCACCCTGCTCTAGTACTTACCTTCAATATCTTCGCACGTTCTCAGCGGCAGTACATCAGAGGAATCGCGTGGAACTGTTCGGTACTTATCGTGAAGCTGTTGAAACGTTCAGGGATTGACAGGTTGGGTGGCTATGTGTCCATGATCACTCGCTAACTGTGCTGATCCCCTCGCGACCTGCTTTGCAGTCACCTCGAAGATCGCGGGCTTTTCACCCCGCTTTCGCACGCGATCGGACCGTTCTACCCCTATCCTCCTTGACTGCGAGCCACTGCCCTCTCCTCGATCGCAAATTTGTCTCGTGCGACGGCTTTTGCCCCTCCTTATCGCTCCCAATGACCCGTTCGGATTGCCACGAAGGATTGCAGATTCTTGCGGCCAGTCTCCAATTCCTAGGTCCAGGCAACCAGTACTTTGTATGAACCAATGGGATGTCTGTGTGTCTTTGAGCCCGCTCCGGCAAACTCTTCCTGAAGCCGAACGTTGACCCTGTACGTTATCCACGTTTCCGGATAGACCGACCTCTACGTCGTCTGTCCGATCTTCGCACTTCGCCGGCGGATGAACGCATTTGCGAGAGGATGCATCATGACGAGTTCCGAGGCCTGCGCCCCGCGGAAGCAATCACAGAGAACGTATAAAAACCCAAAATTGATTGCACCAGCAGCCCATTCAAACCTTTTGGCATGTCTGGCTCAGACTGAATCTCCCAGTCATCTTGGTGAAGTGATCTTTGATCAGACAATTGCGTGTAAAAGCAATCCTGGAAAGTGTACGGGTGGAGATAAGGTGTTAGACGCGGTCTGATCCTGTTAAGAGCCATTATCAACGTGTTCGACGCCCCCCGCAGGTGACTGAGGATAGCGGAGAATCATCCGTGGGATTTGCCGCGGTCACAGAGACGGCGTTCACTCCTGATATTTGATGGCAGAGGTCGTCACAAATAAACAACTTCAACTTCTCTTTCTGCCAAGGGACCCACACTCAGTCCTGGGCATGGACTTGCCCACTGAGTCCTTTCGGCCATCCCGCTCCGTTCCAAATGGCAATCAGATAATACCCGGGTTAGATGTTCCTTCTCTCTGCGGTGATCGCGTCACTCACTAAATTTAATCTTCTGTTCCTGTGATATCCAGGAGCACGCTGCATGCTCAAACTCGAGAAAAAGTGGTCGAAATCCTCGCCAACACCGCAAACGGATGTCTAGACGAGCTTGGATTGTTCCCCGGGATCAAACAACGATACGATGAATTGCTGAAGGCCCACGAGCAAGCAAACAGGGCGAATGATGCGTTGTGGCGGGATAATGACAAGCTCGTCCAGTCCTGTTCTCATCTTCGGTGTGTCAAAGCCTTCCTTCTCCGATCCTTCTCGAATCGAACCCCGCGAACAGGAACAAGTGTACACAGTACCAGAGGGACAATGTCAAGTTGTACGAAGACAACAGGACTCTCGTTCAGGAGCGCTCCCATATCTGCGGCGAGAATGAGCAGCTCAAAAAACAGAATATGGTGTACGCGCGATCTACTACACACTACGAGGTGATGGGTGCCTATGCTGCGTTGCAACGGGACATGCAAGCGGCCGTGAACGAGAACGAGCTTTTGAAGCACGCTGTGAAAGATCTGCAGAACAGTCTACACCGGTCGGGGGCAAACCCTGCAATTATCCAATCTGCTGTTCCGGTGGACGTTCATTCCCATGGGCCCCCTCACGTTCCGGCTTCTGGAATGCCAGAACTCCGAATAAGCACGCATGGTGAGTATTTCTTGTACACTGCAGTCTACGCCTAATCACACTGGGTAGTTACAAGTCAGGTACCCATCATTAATCGCTTCTCGTCGCTGTCACCAACCCTTCTTCAGAATAACCATCCCCCTCTGCGCCGATCTTCCATGCCGATGTCGATGCCACAGACCATGGCTGGTCTGGAGCAGGGTTCCCGGTCGAGCTCAGGTTATGTGCCACATAATGCTGTCCGTGGGGGTAACGCGATTCCCAACATCACTCAACCTTCACGAACAGCTTCTGGCGCTGGGACGTCTTCGCGGCAACATAGGCCTCCGCTCGTTCCCTCAATGCCCATGTCTGCTCCGCAGATGCCGCTCCACTTCCCTCCTCCTCTTCGGTCATCACACTCAACCAGCCCCCAGCAGCCTGGTCCTTCACTAAAATCCTGGCATCCGGTCATGCGGCGGCCTACTGACCCTATGCTCAGCAATATAGCGCGCCCTTTGTCTTCCGGCTCATTGCCACCGCAAACACCCTCGCCATCTTCTCCCGAATTTCCTGGTCACGCACCTGTAGAGATGCAACACCGTCCGACCGTCCCTGCATCGCGCTCGGCGCCATCGACTGTTCCGCGTCCGCATATATCCACACCGACACAGTCTCAGCCCCCCTCATCTCTACATATAATGACCCAGGCGACCAATCGAAATTCTGGGCATCTGCCCGCTGTGGGGACAGTCCAGTCCCCTATCGTTCTGGTAGACAGTCTGCTCTCGCGGCGACCAGAGTCACCCCCGGAAGTCCACGAAGCGATCACGCCCCCGTCGTCAGGCCCTCCTGTGACTGTGGCCGTGAGTACTGATGAGCGGCGCGGTGATGAGATCGTGGTCGTCGAGCATCCACCATTGGCCGTGAAGATGGAGGTGGATGAGTCCGCAGAGGACGGGATGCAGGAAGACGATATGGAAGATATGGACGAGGACGATGAAAATGAGGTTGAGGTGCGACTTGGGCCCGATGGTCTGCGATTGGTCGAGGACTCTATCAACGAGATCTTTGGCGACGAGACGGGCAGCATCTGTGGGTTCTGCACGTGGGTAGCTTTTTTTTAGTGTTTAAACTCTGCGTCCTAACAGTCAGCGCAGTTTCATCCGTGATTCCGGGCTGCCCACAGAAGACATCGACTTCACAAACAAGACGCTAGAGGAAAAGGTCGCACATTGTATTACCTCTCACCCCGACTCTTGGGACGCATTTCGGCGTGCCGGCGGGGAATGATTGGTTTCTTGTTTCCAGTTTATTCTTGACGATTGTAGCTTTAACACCGTAGATATCTTGCTATTTTGTTGTATCGCAATCATTGTACACATAAGGACACTAGCGCATGAATATACTCGATGCTTCTTGTCTTGCAACTTTCATATGTTTCACAACATTAGAATTGCAGATGATAGTACATTGGTTACTGCCACGTTGATGTTTGCTTCAAGAATACAGTTACACCACTTTCAGTGCTTCAAATGCGTGCACCGCTCCCCCGTGTGTCGTTGTTAGTCCGGGACGCGTTGCCCCCTGTGAATCCGCTCGAGATCCCCTCATTGCCCTGGGCGCGACCCTCCTTGAGGACTTTTGTCACGACGTCGGTGTCTTTATGAGTGCCGAAAACGGTGTCGAGTTGTTGGTAAGAGGGTTTGTCGAGCATACCCTGTGCACCTTGTGAAGAGAAGAACACCTGGAAGGCTGGGACCCGGTCAGCACGGCAGACCATAGTGATACATATTGGAACACACAATCGACCACATCGGCTAGGGGTATCGTGCTGCAAATAAGTTAGACCTAGCTACGACCAAGTGCAGGGTATTCACGTCTCTGAAAGAAGAATCAGTGGAAGATCGCGTATCATCGGCGAATAAACACACCTCCACCCTTCCATTTGTTGAACTTCGGGAAGGGAAGACGATAAGATCAGCTCGTGCACTCGATACAGATGGTCATGGAGTCGTACCTCTTCCGTGTTGACGATGACCACATACTCCTCAGTGGACTGAGAGTCGGGCTTGTAGATGACTTTGCTCGTAGCAACCATGATGAAAATGTGGTGGAAGTTGTGAAAGATTGAAACGTTTGGGTGGTTAGTTGAGGTCGTGTGGACGAGCGCTGGCCCTTAAGTACGTCGATAGTGGCGGTGCTATGATATCATACAGCACATGACTGACGTCACGCGCCACTGGTGTGTGCGCTTCTCGACTGACGTTCGAGGCAATGGGAACTCGTCGGAGACTGCAGGTCCAGAGGAAAACCCGAGATGGACGTATTGGTAACTCAAGTTTTGGGTCCCAACGTCGATTTTTGGAGAACCCGACGATCTGGCGTACCGACTGATCTTTCCGACGTTGTTTTATGCTTAAATGGCAATTAAAATTACTGCTCTTTTCAGAGATCATGACACTTATGCTCAGTATTGAAGCCGGAATGGAATTTGTGATCTTCGAGATCCCTCTGGACAAGTCTCGGTAATGGGAGTCATGTGATCGCGTCATTCAGCTCCGACTCTCATGGTCGCGTTCGACGAGACATATTTGCTTCTTCTACTCTCGGACAGCAACCTTCCGACGGGATCCTTTGTAGCCTCATCCGGCCTTGAATCCTTCCTCACACATGGTTTCGGGACACCGTTATCGACGAGCCGTAATCTGGCCGGCCAGAAGATGGATACAATCGCGGTGTTCATCCGGGACAGCCTATCTACCTACGCACCCAGCGCGCTTCCCTTCGTTTCAGACGCACATTCTGTTGTCTCCGATCTGTGCAACAGTGGACAGAGTGTCGACGCTACCTTGGGGCTGATGAACCAACTCGAAGCCCTGTACGAATCGATGATGCTAAACGATGTCGCGAGAAGAGCATCAAAGTCGCAGGGAGTTGCACTCTTGTCCTTATACTCGAAGGGGTTCTCGAGGCCAAGCGGAATGTCAGTCACTCGTTCAGAGCCAGAGAAAGAATCGGGGGATATCAGTGTGCTGGTCGACCGATTCAAACTGATGGTACGGCGCGGCGATCCCGACGCCCATGGTCACCTTTCGACCTGCTGGGGACTCTTATGCGCTGCGTTAGGCCTGTCATTAGGTACAGCATGTTTGAAATGTTTTCTGCACAATCGCTGAACATGGATAGATCGAGCGCAGCACCTCCACCTCTATCTTCACGCCCGGTCGCTTCTCTCTGCCGCAGTTCGACTCAACTCGATTGGTCCCTACGCTGCTCAGCAGATAATACTTTATTCTGTCGAAAGCATAGTCGATCAAGAACTCCAGAGGTGTGCGCATTTGCGTACTGGCATAATGCCACGAGAGAGAGAGGACAGCACTTGGGATGCAGCACTGAGTGGGCCTGCTAGCACCTGGCCGCTGGGCGAGATTCTGGCTGCGAGACATGATCTACAGCACTCCCGCATTTTCAACAGCTAGTGATCCGCAAACCATTGTCTCATGATGTAAGTACAACAAGTAAATGCGCCACCATGCTGACACCCAATGCCCTCAAGCAGCCAGTCTTGACCCGACTGTGTAGAGCCAAGCGTCTGTGTGTTCTTGGCACGTGGCGGCGGCGACTTCCCGGGAGCGCGGGATAGAACGGAAGCCAGGGAGCCAAATCCCAGTCTCGGGAACAGCGACAACACAAACAGGACTTGCGGTCGTGCCTAGTAGAAAGAGCAGCAGTTCCACGACATTGTTTAGCTCAGTTGACGTGTTTGTATGGAGACGTGCAGGCCGCGCAGGGTGGTGGTGCGCGTGGTGCTGGGCGACCTTACTGGGAGAACATGACTCGTGGGCCCTGGTTTCAGGACTCGCGGAAGATTTCTTGATTAGCAGACTGAAAGCATTGTGATAGTGTGGTGCGGATACAGGATTGACTAGGTAGCAGGATACTCAACTCGACGTGCAGGAGGGATTTGATCATCATCGAGCGCGACCTGGAAGTTGTACTAGAACAGGTGAGCATGGCAGCAAGGAGCATGAGCTCTCTAAACCTACCCCGAGGGGATAGTCGTCTGACTCGGGCCGTGCCACTTTCCACTTGAACTGGGCCAAGTTGATCTCCCCGCCGATGCTTTCGAATTTGTCCACCATATCCTTCAGAACGTTTCGGTCCCAGGGAGACTCCGCGTGCTGAGTTTCAGGCCAATTTTGGGGAACGGTGCGAGTCGGAAAGAGCAGGGGCCGAGTTGTTACTGCAGTGAGGTCACTGTCGTCTTCGGATTCGTCGTCAATGACTGCAACACGGATCTAATCAGTTCTTTGATGCAAAACCCATCCGAAAACGCTCACAGATTGGGCTTGGAATGCCGTATAAGTATTTGAACGACATGGAAAAGATTAATGCCGCGTTATAGCTGGGGCCCCCCGGCCTCTGAATCAATGTCTGATACTTAGGCAAGGGGGTGACAGCATCCTTGAATTCTGCAGCCGTAATCGTGTAGCCTACGAGGAAAGGAAATGATGGTTTCGCGCGAGTGCGCCGTTTTGACTTCGGAGTAGAGGGAGACATGTTAGGAACAGCTACGCGTGCGCTGTGATTGTTTGATAATTGTCCTTACATAAGATTCGGTGGGAACGTTTCATCGATGTCGTATCCCTTCGTCTCTGCCACTTCCAGGATGACCTTTCTGCTCGATCCTCACGCGCCACCCAACACATATCCCGGAATCTATCAAGATACTCTTAACCGATGGATCCGATGGGAAGGCACCCCACGCTTTCAGAATCAAGCGTACGGGCCAATAAACGGTTTTCTTCAAATTAAGTTCAGCAACGAGCATTTCTTTGTGAAGCCGCAGAAGGGTCTCAGAGCTCCCCCTGCTAACGTCGGTGCGTAGGTGCTATGATCTTCATGCTCCAAGACTTTGACTTATGGAAAACTTTGCAGACAATTATGATGACGATGTCCCATTTATTGAAGAGGACGAAGATGACAATGACTCTTCAGATAGTACGGGGAATACAGACTCCTCGTATTTATCTGGGAGTCAAAACTCGTCGGATAGTTCTGGAAGTGAAAACGATGAAATGCGAGCCGAGGCCGTGGTTCTTAGACCCCGAGTGCAGCCTCCCCAGGCTATGGATGTCGATGAAGGTGATGGTCGCGGCAGCAAAACTGTCAACAGTGGGTGTTCCACTTAGCCTCGACATGAGATGTGTCATCTAATTGAGATCCAGGACATCGTAGGAGCAACAGCAATCATAGCACAGATTCAAATGGTACATTTTGACTTTCCTTGCCATCTTGATCTGACCAATTGCAACAGATAAGGAGGGCATGTCATTGGCCATCCAGAAGGGCACCCGTTTTCCGGATTTCACTGTCGAAAAAGTATTTCGAGACAGCCCCGATGGCCGGATATTTCCGCACAGGATTGCTTTGATAGTGGAGATTGGCTCAAAAGCTACTCTAGAAAGGATGGTAGCTGACAGGGGCCCTGGAGGTCGCCGTCGCTTCTATGAGAGTATGACCCGGCAGCTCAGACGGTACCTCCAGCGGGCCTGGGGTCAATCAACATTTGCACAGCCGATACTGGGCATGGCAATGGTTGGGAACCAAGTGTATTTCATGGACATCAAGGACCAAGTTGTAGACTCAGTCTTGAAGGTTCCCCGCGATGAAGAGTGGCCTTCAATTTTTGAACCGCGATCAAGATTCATTGAGCTGTTGGATGCTGTGAAGATGGAGTATATGAATCTTGCCACCCCTCAGTAGTACTATTGATGCCATCAGGTTTGGAAATGCACAATAGGTTTGGAAATCCAGTCCCATGTCCTTGCATCTGAGATATTGAGCCTGGTATAGTCTGGAATATGTAAGTAGTTAGAATACCATTAATTAAGGCTATCAAGTACCAGGAAAATATTTGAATGGGAACCTATTCAAATTCAACACCTGGTGTCATAGTTTGACCACTTTTTCATCTTATCATCAATGATCTTATCTTATCTTGACATGGGTTATCTTATCACAGATCACGGCATCTGACGGTCCGGGCTAGGGGTCTAGGGGAATCTTTATTGATTCAAGGCTGCACGACATATGCTCCAGAAGGTTCTACTACAACCCATGACCAGCACTCCATGTGGTACATAGTCTCATGACTCATTAGTTGTAGATATAACTCAGGCTGGATTTGGGTATAAATATGTGACAATCAACACAGAATATGATCAAAAAGACAAGTCAATTCCAAGACTGGAGAATACAACACAATGGCTACTGTATTTATACTAAGTCCAGTCTGAGTCTTATCTACATCAAACAAGTCATCTGACTATGTACCGTGTGGAGCTTTGGTCATGGGTTGTAGTATAGACTTCTGGAGCACACGCTGCGCGACCTCCTGTGCAGATAACCCTCTTGAACCCTAAACCCGGATCGTGTGGTGCCATGATAAGATAGTCCCATGTCAATGATAAGATAAGGTGATCGATGGAATGATTGTGAAAAAATGATTGAATCATGACACTCATGTAAGTACAACAAGCAAATACACTCCCTTGCTAAGATGACATGACCCAGTGCCATCAAGCAACCAGTCTTGCCCAGAATGTGTATAGCCAGGAATTGTGACAATCAACCCAAAAACAAAGTCGAAAAGAGAAGTAAATTCGAAGACTGGAGAATACAACCAAGTAGCTACAGTATTTATACCCAAATCCAGTCTGAGTCATATCTACAACTAATGAGTCATAAGGCTATGTACCGCATGGAGCACTGGTCATGGGTTGTAGTAGAACCTTCTGGAGCATATGTCGCGCAGCCTTGAATCGATAAAGATAATCCCTGGAACCCCTAGCCCGGACCGTCTGATGCCATGATCCGTGATAAGATAAGTCATGCCAAGATAAGATGAGATCGTGGATGATAAGATGAAAAAGTAGCCAAACTATGACATTACCCCCTCTCTAGGGTCGATGTCCTCATCGACTAGGCCAATGGGCGTGAAGACGTTCTCGTAAGGGTCGAAGAATTGTCGTTGGGGATATGGAAGGCACTCATCCCTGGGTTTGTAGTGATGAATAAGGTAGTCCCAATGTCCAGCTTTGAGCGTTGGCAGGAGGCAAATGCGTGTGTCTGGGTTGGATTGTTTCCTCTGCCAATCTCTCAGGACCTTTTTTGCGTGGGTAAGGTGATGTGATGGTTCCCAGGTGTTCTTGCTATGCGGCCATCCCTTCCATTTGACCAAGTACTGTTTTCCTCGGCCGACGTTTTGCTCTTTCACGATCTCTTTGACTTCCCACTCCTCTGCCCCTCCGATCATCTTGGCTACGGGCCTCTTCTCTCGGCGATGGGGTGGTGGTTTGTGATAGGGTGTCAACAGTGACTCGTTGAACACCGGGTGTCTCCGGTCCGTATCTGGCAAGTCCAGTTTCCATGCAGCCGCTCCAACCTTCTCCAAAATCTCGTATGGCCCCAATCTCTTGTCGCTCATCTTCTTTGATGGTCTATCCGTCTCGATATTTTCCCCTTCTATGTACACCTTCATCCCAACCTTCAACTCCGGAACTTCTTTTCTTTGTTTATCATAGTATTTCTTCATTTTTTCTTTTGCTTTTTCCAATGCTGCTTTTGCTTTGTCTTGTATTTCTTTGATTCTTTTCACAAACTCCTCCGCTGACTCGTTCCTTGATTCCATCCTCTGCTCTACTCCTTTCCATGGGTGATATCCGTGGTTTGCGTAAAATGGCGATACTTTGGTGGACGTGTTCATTTTGTCGTTATATGCAAACTCCGCCATTCCCAGCCACTCTGACCAGTCCATCTGATGGTAATTGACGTAGATGCGGAGATAGTGCTCGATCTCTTGATTTATGCGTTCCGTTTGTCCATCTGTGATCAGGTGATATGCGGTCCCCGGATTCATTTCCACGCCCAACATCCAATTTGTCTCCTTCATGAAGCCCTTGATGTAACGCAAATCCCTGTCAGTGATGATCTTGCGGGGGATCCCGTGGTAGCGGAAGACTCAGTCCCTGGTTAATCGTGCAACTCCTTCACTGCTGATGTCAGTACTAATTGGTTCGACATGGATCATTTTGGTGAAGGTGTCACACCACACATGAATTGCGTCATACCCATTACTGACTGGTAAGGGTCCGATTTGATCCATTGAGATGATTTCCCACAGTGCATTTGGGACTGCATGTGGGTGCAGAGTCCCCGTCCTTGCTCTCCTGGTCTTGGTCCGTTGGCACGCCTTGCACGTTTGGATGTATTTCTGAATTTGATTTCCCATCCTTGGCCACCAGTAGTTCCTTTCCACTATCTCCTGCGTTTGGTTGATCCCAGCGCGTCCAACCAAAGGTGTGTCATGGTGTAGCCTGATGATCTTGTCTTGCAGTTCCTTGTCCCTCGGTACGTAGAGCTTCCCATGGTACGTGATGAGCCCATCTTCCTTTTTCCATCCAGCGAGTGACTTTTCCAAGGCCGCCTTGACGCTTCCATCAGTTGATCGAGTGGCCTTGATCTCATCAACTAGCTGCTGATCTTGCCCCTCGAATGTGACTTCTTGCGATCGGAAGAATTCGGGCTTCAGCAGGGTGATGTCCTTGTTGTCATTCTTGCCCTGATTGTGATCTGCTTGTCGAGACAAGAGATCTGCCTTGCGGTTGAGTGCGCCAGGCCGGTGTCGTAAGGTGAAATCAAACTCTGCCAACTCCGTGATCCATCGTGCTTGCCGTTGATTGAGCTTCTGCGGCTTCCGAAAGTACTCAAGATTCTGATGATCGGTGAAGATCTCAAACGTTTCTGTGGCTTCCAGTAGTAACTGCCTCCATTTGTCCAATGATAATATGATTGCAAGCATTTCTTTGTCGTAGATCTCGTGATTTCGCTCAGTTTCCGTTAATGCGTGCAAAATAAATGCGATTGGGCGCCAAATTCCGTCTTGGTTTTGGCTCAAAACAGATCCTGTTGCCCCTTCCGAAGCATCGGCTTCCAGACAATATTGGCCGGTGTCATTTGGCAGTGCTAAGACCGCATCCTCTGCAATTCTCTTCTTTAATCCATCAAATGCTGCATGCTCATCTGTACCCCATGACCATCCTGCCTTCCCTGTCAGTCGTGTCAATGGCTTGGCGACCTCCGCGTATCCCCGGACAAAGTGTCAATAGAAGTTGGTGAATCCTAGGAACGCTTGGACTTGTTTGACACTCTTTGGTTCCGGCCATTCCATCACACCCTTGATCTTGACTGGGTCCATCCGCATCGAATTGTGTCCAATAATTACACCCAAATATTCGATTTCCGTGCGTTCGAACTCGCATTTTTCGGGCTTCAGGTATAGCTTGTGTTTTTGGAGCAATTCGAGTACTCGTTTTGTGATTCGCCGATGTTCGTCCAAGTTCTCTGTGAAGATCAGTATATCATCCAGATAGACTACTATGTGACCCTCATTGATCAACTCTCAGAGTATGTTGTTCATCATGTTTATTTGAAAGGTTGCCGGGGAATTCGTGAGACCAAAGAACATAACCAAGGGCTCATACAGTCTGCGGTTTGTGCGGAACGCAGCCTTCCACTCATCACCCTCTTTGATCCATACGTTGTTATATCCCCACCGGATGTCGAGCTTGGTGAAGAACTTTGCGCCGCATAGATTATGGACCAGTTTGGAGATCAGCGGCAGCAGGTATGGATTTCGGATTGTCATTTCATTCAGCTTCCGATAATCTTGGACGGGACGTAGCAAACCATCCTTCTTTTTGACAAAGAAGAATGCTGATGCCATGGGTGATTTTGATGGCCTGATCCATCCGCTGGCCAGGTTCTCTTGTAAGAACTCGTCAAGTTTGACTTGTTTGTTGCGTGATAACGGGTACACCTTGCAGTCCACTGCTTTGGAACCAGGTTTGAGCTCAATCGCATGATCCCATGCCCGTTGGTCTGGTAGCGAGTCAAACAATTCCTTGGTGAATACCTTGACAAATTCCTGATATTGATCCGGAATCTTTCCCTTGGTCATCCTCTCCTTCTCCTTTTCTGCTTCTTCTGCAAACTTCTGTGCCAGCGTTTCCTTCAGCCGCAGATCCACTTCCTTCCCAAAGTCGATCAACAGGATCAATTCTCCCTCTTCCAGATCCGGTGCGCCCGTGTCCAGGTCGATTGCATCCATGTTGATCATTGCTTGGTGCTCCTTGTGACCCCTCATGTGACACCGCTCTGGACATCGACTGAATCTCAGGGTCTGCTCCTGCCAATCCACCTCGGAGTTGTGTTCCGTCAGCCAATCAAGACCAATGAAGATCGAAGCTTTCCCTAAGCACGTCAGAAGGAAAGTGCGTGTCTCCACATGAGGACCAATTCTCATCCTTAGGTCGATGTAGTGCATGATCCGACCGCTGATGTTCTTGGTGTTGTCGGCATTACAAGCCACAATGGGTTGTGGAAGCTCTTGGATATCCAACTTCTCTGCTTGCGCGTAGTCGGTATTGATGCAGCAGGTACTGCAGCCGCTATTGAGCAGCGCCTTGACTCTGCGCGTTTTCCCCGAGTCCAGACCCGTGATCTGGATATATACATCCATCGAATGCCTCTTTCTTTCGGCCTGGTAACTGCGCAATTCCTGCGCCAATCTGTTGGGCTGGGGGCCCTTGTGTTTCTCGGCCGCCAATTTTCTCTGGACAGCATCTGGCACCCTGGTGTGTTTGGGTGCTTCTGGAACCTTGATTTTGGCAGATTCCTCAGGCGCTTCCTCCTTTTTCAAGGATTGAGCCTCCGGAGCAATGCTCCCCTTTTCGGTCTTTGTTGACGTGGTTCCTTCTCCACAAGCCATAAATACATAGGAGTCTAAAATTAATTTATCTGCAGCCTTCTGATCCTTTTTTCTCTGTAAATACTCTCTATTTAAAGCTATTTTTCTTTGATGTTCCTTTTCCATATCAGCGACAAGAAAATCATGAATATTAGTACGTAGTGAGTCTGAGATCGTGTATGTATGAGGAGAATCGTTCATATCTTTAATCGAAACAAGTACAGAAAATCGTCTATAGTCCGGACGCTCCACCTCCTTGGCTAGGGGAGTGGAGCGCTTCAAAAACCCTTCTCGCGCAGCTTCTTGGCGATCTCCTTGAGGAACTCGTTGTCCTTGTCCCCGTTCTCGATCTCTTCAAGCATTGTGGCCCTGTTGAAGAATGTGCGCTTCTTCCTCGGTTCCGGACAGTTCCGCGTGATGTGTCTGGGTTGCTGACAGTTGTAGCAAATGATATTGCGGCCCCGGGCATGGGTGCAATCAATTTCCATTGGAACTGGTTTGTTGGCGGCGGGTCGGGTCGGAGCGGGTGTGGGTGCGGCTGGTGCCGCCTGGGGACAAAACTGGGGGGGCGGTCGTGGTGCAGAGTGCCCATGCAATGCTTTGTGCAGCTGATTGCGCAGAGCGTTTGCCTTGATGTTGACACACCAGTCCTTGAAGGCTCCGTACGCTTTGGGCAGGGGGACACCAGTGTTATAGAGGCAACTGGCGATCTCGCTACTGAGCCCACGCTCGAGGAACTCGATGAGGATATTGTCTTGATCCCCCTTCTTATACTCGCCCTTGTCGTCGGTGGCGGTGTCCACATTGTACCCTGCATCCGAAGCCAGCATCTCGAAGTCGGAGATATAATCCGCAAAGGATTGTCTGTTCTGGTGCAGAGCCATGAGTCAAGCGGCGGCAACTTGCTCCGCGTTGGAGTCCCCAAAGGCCCTCTGAAGTTCCTCCAAGAAGGTTGCCGAGGTGACCCCAGCCTTTATTCCATTAAGGCTCTCGAAGTTGCGCTGCTTCCAGTTCATCGCCCATCTCAAGGCGGCGCAGCTTGTGCCAGCCTCGTTGTGGAGGTATGAGAGGATGAAGAGGATTTTGGTTTCATCCAGTAAGAATTCTGACCGGTATGCACCAATGTAGGTGGTGCACGAGTCCACGAAGCCCATGTATTTGGTCTTGTCCCCATCGAAATAGGGTGGGTTGGCAGCGAGAGCGATGCAGTGGTGTCCTGACATGGTAGGAGCAGGCATGGTAGGTGGGGGCAAGGGTAGTTGTTCGGAGGGTAACTCGTCAAGGTCAGGGATCTCGTCTTCAGGCGGCGGGAGGGCGAGGTAGGGATTGGAGGGCCCCAGTTGGTTTTGATACGCCAGATCGGGCGACAATGGTAGGATGGGAGGAGGAGACAGACTCCCAGACAACAATGGGAATCGGAACGAAATGGTGGATTTGTGTGCTGTACAAGCACTCGAGGGAGGGTTCTTTTGCTAGCAAAAAGATCCCGGGCCTAGCTCTTCACGTGCCCAATGATCCCAAGGTGCGTTTTCCCGAAGGTCTCTGCAGCACTCCTTGTAGCTACCGTAAGACTTGGGTCGGGCTCAACGTTACCCGTGGCCTGGTGCTGTTTGCTTGATATGAACCCTTCACTGCGATTGCAGAGAACGGCTAGATGATTCAGTAAAAGGTGTAAGGGCAACCTCGAGACCCGATCTCAGAGTCCTGGCAAGGGAGAATCCAAAGTGTCAATAGTGGTAGCTAGGTACAAGACCGGCATACCTGGCAAGGGAGAATCCAAAGAGAAACCGTGTTGGGGATTCTCCTTGCCAGGCGCCACTATTTATATGATACAAGAACAATAGAGCACGCAGCGACAAACAAAGAACAATGGGAACAATAAGTACAATGGCCGTTGGAGAACAAGAGGAAACCGAGACAGTGGGAACAATGGGACACCTGACCATGTGCCCATCAGAGAGAAGTGCTTGGCGTGGCAGTCCGGGCCGCGGCACGTGACAGCTGACAGGTCACGCGAGCGCAATCACATGCCTGATCAAAGGCAGAGCGGTCCGAAGCGGGGGTTCCCCTGACATCACCCCCCCCCCCTTGGATTGCGGCGCCTCGACGCAACATGCAGATGGTGGCAGAGGGGTGCTGGAACGGAAGGGAGTCAAAGATGGCGGCGGCAATGATGCATGGCTTGTTGGGGTGCTTGCGGTAGAATGCCGCTATAGCGTCCTCTGCAAAGATATCAGAGTGCTTAACCCATTGGTCGTGCGACAAATCGTAGCCCTTCCACCGCACGAAGTACCAAATGCTCCAATAGCGCATCTTGGCATCCAGAACCTCTTCGACTTCCCACTCCTCGCCAGCTCCTTGGCCCATGACAGGTGGCGGCTCCTCGCGAGCCGGGCGTGTTGGGAACGGGTCGTCCTCAACAAGCTGCAGCTTGACGACGGGGAAGACCGGGTGAAGACCAGAGAGGCAGCGAGGGAGGTCAAGCTTGTAAGCGCCGCGCCCAACAACCTGGGTGACTTTGAAGGGACCCAGCCGTCGGTGAGAGAGTTTGAGGGACGGGCGCGTTGTTGCTATGTCAGAAGCGTCAAGCCAGACTCGATCTCCGACCTTGATGTCTGGAGCCGAGACCCTCCGGCGGTTGTAGTACTGCTTGTACTCATCCTTTGCCTTCACCAGTGCCGACTTGGCTTCTGCCACTCCGGATGCGATGCGGTCGCGAAAGTCGTTTGCCGACTCGTTCACAGCTGAGCGTAGTCCATTCGGTTCGAAGCCCATACGAGGGAGTCGACCGGTATCTGTCATGAATGGGACCTGCTGCGTGGATGAGTGAATATGGTTGTTGTAGGCAAACTCTGCAGCAGGAAGCAGCTCGTCCCAGTTGTCCTGGTTGTAGCTGGTGAAGATCCGGAGGAACTGCTCGAGCTCCTGGTTCACACGCTCGGTCTGGCCGTCTGTCTGTGGATGCCAAGCCGTAGACATTGCCGATGAGACCCCGACTAGTTTCCACAGCTCCTGCGTGAACTCTGCTATGAACTGGGAGCCACGGTCAGAGACATACTTAGACGGCAGCCCATGGTGGCGCCAGACGTTCTTGTAGAAAAGCCTGGCGGCACCTTCACCGGAGAGCCGGGTGTGGCACTCTATAAAGTGGCTGCGCTTCCCAAGCATGTCAACAACGACCATGATAGCATCATACCCGTGAGCGTCTGGCAGATGCACAATGAAGTCGACTGACACCGCTTCCCAGCGCTCCGAAGGGACCTCCGTGGGATGGAGTTCCCCGATTGGGAGTTGGCGGAGCGCCTTGGTTCGGCAGCACAGGTCGCAGGTGGCCACATAAGGTATGCGGCATTTGATTCCAGCATGGGTGACTAAGCAGTGACTGTCACGGTCACAGGGTCAAATCTCGGAGGTCGCAGAAACCAACTTCACTTTTTGGACCTTATGAGCTTCTGGATGGGTGTCTAGTGGTACATATGTGCTCTAAAACACCATATGCAACAGTCAAAAGCCATGCCCAGCCCACAGTAGGTAGTTGTAGCCTGAAGCACTGCCACTTCCTTATTGGGATGTCACGTGATGGGGTCAAATTTTGGACCCGAAAAATGGAAAATGCTGCATTCGGTGCGAAAACATGTTATACAACAAGAGGAACTTTTTGATGGGAAATATGCCAGCCCAAGATTATGCTGCCTGCAGGATAGATATTGAAATTCTGCTTGCAGAGAAAGTATCCTAAGGCTCTCCTAGAACACTCTATGTGAGTAGATTCCTTATTTTTTTCTTGTGGCTGTTGTGATTCTCCGTCGCCGTTTGGTCACACGTTGTGATTGTGTGATGCTTAGTCACCCGTGCTGGAATCAAATGCCGCATACCTTACTGGCCAACGTGTCGAGACAACTGGGGCCACCAGTAGTTCTGAGAGATCAGCTCCAACGTCTTGAAGCGGCCGGCATGCCCTGCGACGCGGGTGTCGTGGTGCTGCTCGAGGATGCGTCGGCGGAGGTCATTGTTGCGTGGAACCACCAGCTTGCCACGGAAGTAGAGCAGGCCGCCTTCTTTTCGCCACTCCGCAGCCCGAGCAGAGCGAACTCCGCATTCCTTGAGGAGCTCACGTGCTGCCAACACAATGGGCTCCTCCATGTCGGGGGTACCAGCGAGGGCCTCCCGGATGTCGCGCAGGAGAGGGGCCTCGGGTCCAGAGACAGTGAGACCCTCTAAGGCCCGGACATGGAACAGCTCCGGGCGCAGCAGTGTGACGTCTGCGTTGTCCGAAGCGACTCCGTGGTCGGGGCGGCGCGAGAGAGCATCCGGGCGGCCCATGAGGCGGCCAGGTTGGTGGTGCCGGGTGAAGTCAAAGCGAGACAGATAGAGGGACCAGCGGGCTTGACGATGGTTGAGATTCTGGGCCTTCCGGAAGTACTCCAGATTTTTGTGGTCGGTCCAGATCTCAACGGGGTGCTCGGCGCCCTCGAGGAAGTGTCGCCACTCCTCCAAGGCGCGGACAATGGCGAGCATCTCCTTGTCGTGGATTTCGTAGTTCCGCTGGACCTCGTTAAGACTCTTCGAGAAGAAGGCAACCGGATGCCACTTGTCATCCACGGGGGACTGCTGCGAGATGACAGCACCGGTCGCAAAGTCCGAACTGTCTGCTTCGAGGCGGTAAGACCTGGAAGCATCCGGGAGCTGCAGGACTGGGGTAGAGGTAACAGCGTTCTTCAGCGCAAGAAACGCAGCTGCCTCGTTGGCGCCCCAAGTCCATGCCACGTCCT